TTTACACAATTGATGTGTGTATGGATTGTGATAAGAGTTGTATGAGCCCCTAATAAAATGACTAAAAAAAATTAAAAAAAAGAAAAACCACAATGGCCGGCACCGCTAACATGATTACTATCATGACTTGTAACTGACATCTAGGGCCTTTAAAAAGGTCTAAACCAGAGCTTGTCCCTAGATTGCCCTTCTAAGTCTTGCTGGCTTTCAATCTACAAAACAGGGACATGCTGCATCTTCCCCCGAGGCTCTGAGAAGATGATAGTGTGACTTAGAAAGTAATAGCCACCGAACGAACGTGGGGTGGCACGACAACCCTGAGTTGTCTGCTTATCCTGATGAGAACGCCATACCCACCCTGCCCCTGCCTCCAACAAGGGAGTCCAACTGATGGAGCTGGAGAAGCCCACTGAAGTACTGCGGACTGACTGCCCGAAGAACCAGCAGATCTGCCCTGGAAGAATGCTCTGCAGAGCAAGGCTGGTGAGACTTCTTCTCGGGTACTTTGCACACGCTGGAGAAGGACAGCATGCCTGGTAGAGGGGTGGCATGGCGAAAGAGAGGATGGGCCTAGACAAGACGGGCTGCCACCGTGGCTGCCAACAATGGGCTCTAACACTGGAACAACTGTGAGGATGGCGCAGGGCCGGGCGGCGCCTCATTCTGCTCTCAAGGTCCTTGTGGCCCCTAACCACCACCACCATGGCTGCCGCCTGAGCGTCCTGGCACTCAAACAACAGCAACGGGAAAGAAGCCTGGATGGAGGGGGCGGGGGGTGGGGGGTGACGGGGATGGGGACGGGACTCCTAAGTCTAGGGCCTTGGGTGTCCCCCTGAAAGGCCTGCCCCAGGGCCACCTCTGGTGGGAAGCAGACAGCAGACCAGTTCTGTGGGGCTGAAATGCATGGCCTTGCTGGGGCCCTGAGGCAGTCCCAGGACTCTGAAGGAGGCGTGAGCCCTACCACCCTGTGGCTGGGGCATCAGGAAGCTTGTTCCTCCCTGTCAGGCTTTGGGGCCCCTTGAGGGCCTGGTCTGATTGGGGAGACTATCGGAGAGAGCCCAGTGGAGTAGACTCTTCCTTGGCAGGGAATCAGACCTATTCCCGGCCCCTGCTCGCCTGCAGACGCCCACGGCAACAGCAGGACCGCTTCTCCCTGTTGGCCTCATCCGTCTTTTCCAGTCCAACCCGAGGCTGGGGGGCTGGCCCCATCCCTTCTCCCAAGGCTCCCCCTTCCCCATGGGCTACCATGGTGAAGGGCGTGGCAAAGACAGTAACAAAGCCCTGTGGGTCAGATCAGACACTGTGGCTGGGGCACCTCGCTTCATCTGCTTCCTTTTCCTCCTTCCAGAGTCAGGGAGGGTGAGCGGGGCACCCCCAGCCCAGGGAGTGTTCATTCAGAAAGCTATAAGAGGGGAGCCTCTGTTCTGCGTTGGGGGCAGCCTCCTAAGAGCCTCTCTCAAGTCCCAGAGATTCCAAGTTCCAGAGGGCAGGACCTGTCCCGAAGGACCATCGGGTTGGTGCATCTGTGCTGATGGGGCCTGGAAGGAGAGGCACTCAGACGTCACACATTCACCTGCTCACCACAGAGAGATTAAGACACACACCCTCAGTTTGATTCAAGTACAAGAACTTGCTTGATGGGCAAAACCCTGGAGAGACAATGTGATGGGCAAACCCAGCTGAGGTTGGACAAGGCCACAGAGGGATTAGAAAAGTAATTAACCCCTCCCACCCGATACTGCTGCACAGAAGTCTCACAGCTTCTATGGCTCCTAGAGTCGCGGGGGCATCAATGTGTCCTCTGGCTTTCCCCTCCCTGCCTGGGCACCCCCACCCCAAAGTGCTGACACCATGCTGAAAGGGCAGCTCTCGAGCACCCATCTCCTGCAACGTTTGGGTATTAGGCTAAATCCTGCTTTGTGGCGGGCATCCAGAAGTGCCATGTGCAGATCAGCAGCCTCCAGATTCCTGATAAGCACTTGCTTGCTTATCACAGGGCCCTGGGGGTGGGCAGGCGGGAGAAAAGGAAAAGAGCGCACAGGTGTGGCTCAGGTAGGAAGCGCTGGTCCCCTGTCCTGAGAGGGTCTCGGTCCAGGCCTCGTTTTACACATGTTCTCTAAGAGAAGATCCTGAGGGAATGAGAATCTGGCCCATTCTGAAAACCACCCAGAGGGGCAGCTTCCACTCTGCCCTGGCGGTGGGCGACAGCTGGCAGTGCCCTCACAGAGGGAAAACGCTCCTTGCGATGAGTCCTGCCCTGGAGACGAGAGAGGGGCTGGGCAACAAGTTAGCCCTCATACTAGCAGACAAGCAGGGAGCTTCCCCTACTACCCCCGCCCCCTTCTTGGTTTCCGCCTTCCCTAGGGAAGATCTGTGGGTCTCCTCCCAGAGTGGGGATGGAGCCCGTCACTCGGCACTGAGACAGGGAGATCTGTGACAGAAGGGACAGGACCTGCCTGTACTTCATGGCACTCCAGGGGCAAGTTTCCTTATCTTTAGGTGCCCTGAGGCTCCCTGTGGACAAAGCTAGGTGACCTGGGGTGGAGGAGAGGGGAATCCCTCTCTCTTTTATCTTGGGCAAAAGTGGTGCTTCATGAAGGTCTAACATCCAATTCCAAATTACCCCAGAGAAAGGGCCCGGCAATCCAGGCTCCAGGCTGGGAAACCTCATGGGCAGCTCTCCTGTCTCGGTGGATCCAGGAGGAGTCAGAGTTGACTCAATGACACACCACCACAGAGAAGGCTGGTCCCAGCTGGGGTCGAGTCATGTCAACAGAGTCCTGGTCTCACCTGTCTCGTCTGCAGCTGTTCCTTGGGATGTGACAAATGCTGACAGCACTTGTAGTGCCCCCTCCCTGCCAAGCAGACTCCTCTCATTTCTAACATCTATGAAGGGAATGGGAATCAATATGGGAGAAGGAACCTGTTTTTTAGAGTCAACGCAGTGCCGCGCACGTCAACAGGGCCTGTGAGTCAGGCGGCCAAGATCTTTATAGCTCTAAGGGGGTGGGGAAAAGAGAACGGCTCCTTCACTCCTGGGCTCCAAAACAATCTCTTGTACGGCTTGCTCCTCCAGCCCTTAAACTTGAACGAACAGGAAGTGGGAGCAAACGACAACAGCTCCCGAACGAACAGATCAAACCCAAAAGAGTCTTATTTCCTATTCAAAGGCAGCTGGGCACAGGATGACAGAGGCAGCCGGGGAAGCTCCGTGGGAAGCCATCCTGCAGTGCTGTCTCCAACAGGAGGCTTCCCTTTGGTTGCCTGTCAGTAAGGCTCAGGCCACCAGTCCAGGTGGCCGGCTGTACTGCTGCTCAGAGGAGCCCCGAGGAGAACCCCAAAGAGACTATGGAATCACTGTGTGCACAGTGGGACAATCTCCTCAGCTGTAAAGGTGGAACTGTGCTGTGGTGGCTGGGGGTCCAGAGCAGTTAACAAATGGTCCTTATTTTACTGATGACAATGGAAGCCCATGGAGAGACCAGAGGGGTCACTGGAGAAGGGGCAGGCCAGAGGAGCTTTGAGAAGGAAAGGAATTCCGAGGAGAAATGCATTCTGGGCCCTGAGGGAATGACGGAGGTGGCCAGCTTTCAGGGAGGGTGGCTAGACGAGAAGCGGCTCTCCCGGAAGTGGGAGAAATTAATGGAAAGCAGATGCTAAGAGACAGCTGACCTGTCCATTGGAAATGGGGGCTACACATCTTGTCCCAGGCTTGGAAGCACCCATCCCTCAGTAGCGAGGAGTAGGAGGAAGGCCAGCAGGGTAGAGCTCTTCCTTGCCAGCTGGTGCTCATCTCTTTCGATTCATGCATTCTGGGAGTCTCTTCATT